TCTGTCCGCCAGAAACATGTGAGACAACAGATTTTATATTCCTACTGTTTGCTTCTTCCAAACAAGACGTAACGATAAAAGCTTTCAACAACAGTCGAAAAGAATAACAGACGTGTGATTCTAACCACGTTTTACGGCTGCTGCCTTAAACAAATACTACACGAGGTCGATACTGAAGGCAGCTGCACTGAACAAGAAGTGATGCAGAAGCTAGAATAGTTTCCACTATATCAAAATGTATACTTTCCATTGCGTATTTGTTATCGTAAATCAATTAGTGTCATGAACATTTCCGTTTATTCTATTGATATACTATACAAACGTTTTTGTAGAAACGATATGCAGAATTTTGATGAAATATACTATGTAAGAGACGTTAAGAAAGTGATATAAGATGTCATTGAATATTTCACCTTTCGGGTGTCTGCATTTCTAATTCCACGATAATGGGCTTTGAAAATGCTATTTATTCTTTAGTAAGTTGAACGTATTTTTCTTTAAAATCTGGCGTTTCAACAAACTTAATTAATTTCCTCTACTTTATTTATCTAGTTAATATAGCATATTTGTAAGATCTATAAACAATAAATTAATCAAGCTTTAGGGAACAGTCCAAAGCAGCTGGGTCCCTACTTTAACTTTCCAGTGCTTATACTATTATTACACTTGTGTGTTGAAGGGTATCTAATAAATAAGCCAAAATTCCTCAGCCGTTTTAGATGACACTTTAAAATAAATAATTTTTACAAAGGAAAAGTTTAAGTAAGATAAATGATTCTTATTTCGTGTTATGAAGTTTAGAAAATATTAAGTAGCCAGGCTTATGTTTATGGAAATTTTAGGATGCAGTAAATGATCAGACTAATGTGTTTGTAAACTTGAGATTCTGATTATGTTAAGACTGATTAAAATGGGATTGAACTTCTATTGCTTATAATGATTCGTAGAACCCATGAGTGAAAGCAATGGAAGGAACTTTAGTATGTCAATCACACTTCATCTGCAATATCCAGTGCCGACGAGGCCTTTCGCTTCTCCCAATACCAGGGCTTATCAGACCGACTGGTTTGAAGATTAAAGCATCATTTTGCTGAACATGCTGCAGATGATAAATGAAAATATACAAAAAATGCATAGAACTTGTTAACAGGCTGAGCACAAACTGCAACCCTGATGGATAACGAATCATACTCTTGGCCATTACAGCATACTCTTGAAATATAACCACTGAACTTTAAAACAACCATCTGAGTATAACGGCTAAGTCAGCTACCACTGATTAAAATTATTTTGGTTATGTGAGGAAGAGTAACATACCTCACTTGGCAAGTAAATATTTTTAGGTGATTCTTTCTAGATAACAGCATTTACTGGATGGTGGAGAGAGGAATATTTGATTCAGTGAAGTACAGATGTAAAAAAAATAAAATTATTTAAAAAGTGACTATATTTATTCTCTTCAGCAAATGTATGAAGTTTGTGGATAAAAGAGAAAAATGAGAGATATGTCATTTAAAAAGATGTCACTCACATTCTTGTGTGTGTGTGTATCCAATTTTGGGTGGGATCACATTTTTATGTGATAACAGCATGGATTTTATATAGCATAGATTCCATTAGATACCCTAAAATATTTTATTCAATTGTGGCGTATTCGCTGAGAAATACAATTTGTAGTTGGTACGCTGATGTCAACAGAGGATTAAGATGTATCCAGTGTTCAGGTTCATCCCAAAGATATTCCTGAGATAGGGTGATTCTGTTGGGAAAGGAAGATGACTGATGTAATCTATGTGCTTTCTGAATTAATTTTCGGACATCATAAATGCAGTGGATTGTATACAATTGAACCCTGAGTAATGTTGACACAAAGTTGAACATATGTTGCAATTTACAAGCCTATCTTCTTTCTCATGGTCATAAGTTTACCTAATAACAGGTACATTTCGTTTTTGATTACAATTGCTGAAAGACTGATGATGGATGTCTTTAAACAGCTGGTCAAATGAATGGTCTGTGATAACTATGTTCATGCCAGATGGGCAGCTATTATCATATTACTTTGAAAGTTGAATAGATACCTGGTTTTTTCTGATCGTATTGCAAACTAGTATGATATGGTAATATCTCTGCATTGATCTGATGCATCTAATATGATTATATGCGATATTAATTCACACTGTATTTGTAAACTTCCTTGTCCACGAACTCCTTCCACAGTTTTGAAGCTAGCATGATCAAACTTGGCAGTTAGACTGTGGGTGACTTGAGGGTGTTCTTGTGTATGTGGTGTGGCTAAAATACACCAAGAGGGCCATACAGGCATGATGAAGTAGGTTTTGCAAATTTTTTGTGCCCCCCCCCCTCCTCCTATTGAGTTCTTCGGAGTACCATTTTTGAAACTGTGCTCATACCCCAACTTTTTTCTCAGATATGGACCCTCTTGGGGTAGTTATAGAAGTAATTTTGGATAATGGAGAAGCTTGAATGGTATTATCGGCAACAGTTTTACTGACTAAGCTTTCTGTGGCAGTTGAACGAAAACAAAGTACGACAGTTTTAAAATATTTAAACTGCTATTTTTGGTAAAAAAAATTAGTCAACTCAATTTGATCTCCGCTTGAGAGAAGCCATACGAAAACTAAACATAGACTGATATCGTAACTTCCCGTATGTAGTAATAGTCAAACGTAGTTGGACAAATTATGACATCTAGTAGCCTTAATTAGTTTTTACGACATTTGGTACGATATCCTTTGTTAAATATTCTGTAATCGTAATTATTTTATTACCTGTTGAACTGACATTTATATCGTGTAGGAAGATAAAATTAACTACTGTTATTTTACCTGTACAGTAAACAGGCGCCATGTTGAAACTAGTAGGTGAATGTTTGTTTTAGAGTAAAGACACTTTGGGCTATCTGCTGTATCCACCGCGGGGGAATCGAACCCCGGATTAAAGCGTTGTAAGTCCGTAAACTTACCGCTCTCCCACCGAGGGGAACACTAGGTGAATGAAACATTAATGTTCAAGTTTGACTGGCTTCGAGTATTGACGCAAGAAAATCGGATTTTACGATTTTCTTGCATTGAGAAAATTATGACAATGGTGATTTTGAAAGATTGACAGCAAAGAGTTGATATTGGGATGTTTGGGCACATGTAGAAGTAGGTTTTACACCAGGCCTTTTTTTTACTTTTTTATATTTTTAAAACTACAACAGCCAGCTTCAACCTATTACTGTATTTAGCGACTGTAAATTACCAACCACATTCTGCTAAACAATAACTCAGTTAGTTTGTTTGTTTGAACTGTTAAATGTATAATTATTTTAACCCTAAAATTGTGAGTTGATCTTGCATTATTTTGGTGGCAAATTTGAACACGAGAACAATTCAATATAATAATTTCTTGTATAAAACTGCATAAGTTTAGGGTTCGATCTCTTGTTTTAAAAAAATGCAGTGAATCTTCCAAAATGTCATTTTGGTTTCGATGAAAAGTCTTCCTAAAGCAAGGCCGTTTTTCTCGGGCCATTATTCTATTTTGACTTTGATTTGTGCTGTAAGAATGGTTTTTCGACATGTAGGACACCGCACAATTAGTTAAAAAAAAAATAGATTTTCGTCAGCTATTTCTTATGACTTTCGTTGGTTGAGATCTGATCAATTTTATCTCAAGTCTTTCCTTCCAATCACTGATTGATCTGAGACAATGAAAGTGATTACAACGAGAACAAAGTATGTTATACTTACTGATTTTTGTGTTTCTCAGATTTCTTGTTTTTCGATAGGATTCTAACGTTTTTGGATATTTCTTTCTTCAACAGGAACCACATTGTGACTATACCACTAACGTTTGCATTTCATGTAAACTTAATACCTTGCAACTGAGATTATGGTAAACATGACTCTCGGGCATTATTCCAGTGTATATTGACTAATTTAGCACTGAAAACAGGTTTTCTATAGGCAAATAACTTTTCAAAAGGCAATGGATACCAAACTCTTGATAGAAACAAAGGAAAACTTATTTTCAAATGAAGATTTCGTTATAAGAGGTGAACCGATGGTGTATTGTTCGAATACTATAATACTAAAATTATCGTTAAAAGGCAGTTTTTGTGCTTTGTATCGTTTGTCGGATATGGAAATACCCAAAACAGACACTATTTTTGTATGTTCAACTTTATTAGTGATTTCAAGAATGCTCTTTTTTGAAACACGGGTTGTGCCCCCCCATTGGCACAGCAGTATGTCTGCGAACTTATACCGCTAGAAGCCGGGTTTCGATAACCGTGGTGGGCAGAGCGCAGATAGCCCATTGTGTAGCTTTGTGCTTAACTACAAACAAACACTTGGGTTTCAAAGTTTATTGAACATTTTTTTAGTTGTTATAACTGTTGAATTGTCATTTACAAACCACGCTAGTTCTAGTTGTGACAAACTGGTTAAAAAACCACTTTCTTAGCAAGTTGCCTGTTGCTATGTTATTAAGCAAAACGATATACAATGGGCTACTTGTGCTGTTCCCACCGCTGGGATTGGAAAACCTCGAATTTTAGCTTGTGCTGTGCCCACCGCTGGGATGGAAAACCCCGAATTTTAGCGTTATAAGCTTCAAGATTACCGCTGAGCCACCGGAGAAGGGCATTAAGTTTGTTATGGCAAAGCTACTAAAGTGTACTAATTTTGCGTAACCAGTTTATTGTGAAGCGAGTTCAATAGTTATCCAGGTGTTAGAGGTTATAAGGGGCATTGATTGCCTTTTATTTCATATTCCGTACAGCAAGGTTAAAAAACAAAACAAAAGACCTACTAACTCTTATAGATGCACAAATCATGGAATCATTAGAACTTTGTACCTTATAGGTCAGGTAGGCCGAAAAGGAACAGCTAGCCATAATTATATTGAAAATAATAAAAATGGTTTTAAGATTTGCCTGTAATATATATATATATATATATATTGTTAAAATATAATTATTATTTTTTCAGTCGGTCATTTTTGAGGAGGTCGACTTGACAGACTTGAGCATAGCTGAATGTAGTACAAAAAATGTAAACCACAGTTTTCAGGTCAGTGAACTCCTATTTTGACGGGTAAATGTTATATGATTTATGTACTACTACATATTTTATGATTACTATCAGTATTTTTGTTGTTGTTTTTTTAGGCCCGGCATGGTCAGGTGGTTATGGCGCTCGACTCGCAAACTGAGGGTCGCGAGTTCGAATCCCCGTCCCACCAAACATACTCACCCTTTCAGCCGTGTGGGCGTTATAATGTGGCGGTTAATCCCACTATTCGCTGGTAAAAGAGTAGCCCAAGAGTTGGCGGTGGGTGGTGATGACTAGATGCCTTCCCTGTAGTCTTACACTGCTAAATTAGGGGCGGCTGGCGCAGACAGTATTTTTTTCTATAAATCGTGTCCCCAGCAATTAATCGTTGTGAATCATTTTTGGACAAATACTTTTAGTTTTAACACACATTCTGTGAATCAGAGAGAGATTTTCGGTGGGTTGGTTCCCATACCAAACATTCTGGTACTTTCCTTTTTAAATTGTGAATAACTGTTTGAACTTCTTGCGATATTTGGAATCTAGATTGTCCACCAGCGTGGCATAATTCGCACAGATTTTTAGGCTATGAGGGAATAAAACCCATGCTCCTATCAAATCTAATAGATAAAAAATGGTAGTGGTCACATGTATTGTGCAATACAAGGTCGGGTTCCTCAGTTCTATTAAGTCGTTTTCTCCGCGGTTTTCTTGAGTCCTGTTGTCAGAGGTGACCGAGAAAGACTCAACAAAGTTTACTTGCTGTTATAAGGCGGCACCTGTCTGATGTTAACACTTGTATTGTTTTGTGCAAGAGAAATACACTTCGGCCAACTCCGCCACTTCATAGCCGAACTCTTTTGAGAGGCGATTCCTTTTGGCAGTAAAGTTTTTTTTTTTTTCAGGTTAACAGACTGAGCCCTTTAATAGAGTACTTTTTTTTTTAACTTGAATACCGGAAATCGTGACACCCCTCTGTAGCCCGCTCAGTTCGGTCTCATCGACTAGCATATTGGGTGTCAGTTATGCTTTTAGTTTATTTATATTCTTATTTTAGTCATGTTGCTACTTTTGACGGATAATACTTTTTTATCACTCGCTAAGTTTTTTTCTTTATTTTATCGTAGGTTGTATCTAGTTTGGGAATTCGCAAGATTTAAAGAGATTATTGCAAGTTTAAAGTGTTTACTTAAAACCGAGCCTCACTTACCATTATTTATTGTTATGAGGTGCTTGAATCACGCTGAATCACATCTTACGAGTGCTTGCAGCAACATTGGAAAATACTATAAAAAATATCGTCTTCTAGAGCATTTGGTCTTATTCATGGACACACTGTTCCGCGAATTTATTTTTTGTTTAATACATCATTCAAATTAATGATGTAGATTTGGTTTATTGTTTTTCATGTGTCAGAAGTATGATCTTTAAATTACTGTCATCACCAATGTTAATAAGGCCCTGTATTTTTCATAAGGATTGGGTCTCTGGATTTGATCTCCCGAGGGAATGTTGTACTGGAAAAAGAGGATATGTGGTACGTTGTGTTAGCATCTAGGGTGTTGATAAATGAAAGTATTTTATGGCATCTAGGGTGTTGATAAATGAAAGTATTTTATGGCATCTAGGGTGTTGATAAATGAAAGTATTTTATGGCATCTAGGGTGTTGATAAATGAAAGTATTTTATGGCATCTAACCGTGTAGATTTATCAGAAACTTGCGGATAGGTATTACGGTCAGATAGAGTTGTTTCCGTCATCATTCATAAGATACATTAACTTGGAATGACATATATATGGGTATATGTAACAGCACTTAGTATTCTTAAAATTAATAAACATGAAATTGAGTAAAGGGAAAAACTGACTTTGTATTCTAGTTAGATATAATCCTGTCTCGGTTCGAAGTATAAGTTTTATTATTGGACGTAGCTTACATTTGCAGATATAACGTTTTTGTTTGTGTTTATTTATTTTTGACGTTTATCCTTTTCTTTGATTGATTAAAAATGGAAATGAATACGAAACACTTTATATCGTATTTTATTTTATCCCTTTTTTTAACCTCCTTTCACAGTTGATAACTCCGTTTCGTCGACTTATCCTGTGTGCCGACTCACGGAAAGAGATGGAAGCATGGATATCGGCCCTGAAAAGCGTCGGGAACAAGAACTTTTACGAGGTAAGAAACGTCTACTGATTTTCCCACCACGACAGAATTAACTCAGTACGGATTTAAGGAGAACCCTTCCTCCGAAGTTTTATGGTATATTATTGGTGATAATCGCATCTTATAACACTTGCCTAAGAATTATGCCCATTTCTTTTTATATTACCTCGCGTTGTCAGTAAAACGTTCTGAAGGAACGTTATGATGCTGGATGAAGGCTTTATCACCCAGAAGCTTTTTAGATACAGTACTAAGTTATTAGGATCAATAGTGTAAGTAGTGGTGTTTTTCGACGATCACTCGTACGTTACAATCAATTACTCAGTTACAGTTAGCCTTTTTAGACAAAAAATAAATACGTGTTTTTGTTGTTACCATAATCTTTAGTTACTGTTTAATCTAAAGTTACTGTTATTTCGTTATTCTATTTGGAACTTTTGGGTAAAGAACTTGTGAAGTGATTGTCTGTTTTCCCGATACATTTTAATGGCTTTTCATAACAAATATTTTTTTCATTTTACTCACTGAACTATATAAGCCATGCTGAAAATTATAAACCTGTTCATATTTCTAAGCCCCCCAGTGACACAGCGGCATGTCTGCGGATTTACAACGCTAGAAGCCGGGTCTCGATACCCGTGGTGGGCAGAGCACAGACAGTCCATTGTGTAGCTTTTTGCTTAACTACAAACATATTTTTAAGGGTTAGCCAACGCTGTTAGATAATTTTTATGTTTAAAAGATTGTTTAATTACAAAGAAGAAAAATGAATCTCGGAGATTTTAAATAGAACAGATACAAATATGAAATACACATCTGCGTTATCCTAAAAAATAAGTAAATCAAAATCTACGTTATGGACTAGCCAAAACACACTAGTACTAATTTTGAAACGATAAGTTTTGAAACGATTTAGTTTGGTGATATTATCTGATATTGTACTTTTTAATTTTAAATAGATATATATGTGTGTTGTCTCGGCGACAGCATGTGCGGCTATGGGGGTGGGAGGGGGCATTTTTTGAAACAGGTAACGAAATCAGTTAACTCGTATTCTCTATTATTACACGTCAATATACATTACTTAGTAAACTATAGGACAGCGCATTAATATGACACATTCACAACGAATGTAGTTTTCCCAGATTATTTTAAAATTATTGATGATATTATTAAAAAATTAGAAACATTTACGTCTGAACTATGTATTATCATTCTTACATTTAACTTTAATTGTATTTTATTTCAATTTTTGATTTGTATATGCCCTAGTATTTTTGTGTCAATTTGAAATCTGAAACCTAGGGAGGCACAGGATCTAAACTGGACAGGCAAAGCCTCCTAAGCCCCTACCTCGATGGCGACGACCATTTATATATATATAAAACGAAAGCCAATAACTGTTTGTTTTTAAGCTTAAAGCTACACAATGAACTATCTTCGCTGTGCCTACTAAAGGGTTATACCCCGAATTTTAGTGTTAAAAGCTTTCAAGCTTACAGTGTTTCTATTTCTATAATATGATATTGTCAATACCTTGTTTGTCCAAATACATATACAAATTTCTCTCATTTTTATATTTATAGTTTTCGAATGTTATATTTCTCGTTCTAATAAGGAAGAAAGATCTTCAGAAGCACCCAGATTATCGGGTTTCTTACTTCAGAAGCTGAGTACGTTAAATTAAGTTGATTCTGGTGCCTCACCACGTCCATGTCGCTATTATATCCGGCTATGCGCTATCTGACAGTCGTGCACTTTGACTATAGCCCTGCAGCGTTATTTCCATTGCAGACGACTCCATCATAAGGATTTCGTATCTTAAGCATTCCTCTTCTCCCTAAAATTTCAGTAATATATCTAATATACGAAGACGATGGTTTCCCAGCGTTCGTTTCAACAGTCAAATCGCACAAAATCCATAGACGCTGTGTCTGACGACTTGATCAGTACGTCTATAAAATAACATGAATGCCCATTTCATTCTGCAGTTGCTTAAGGTATGCAACAGTGGAACATATATTTAGTGGAAACAATTTATGTATACATGACTTGTGTCACTTTTTTTCAGACAGAGACCTTTCTTGATTATGTTGGGTACTGTTGCCTGGGGTATTGAACTTTGCGTACGTGAATTCTCACCTGTTACAAGACGCCGCACTTTACCTACCATAGCTGTGGTACGACTTATTGCGGGTCTCTTTTTGGATGGCCTTAGTACCTCAAGTTGATCCAATCAACTCAAAATCCCCAATATCAATACGCCTTTATGATCCAAGTGTATGAATATTTTGTATCTGAAAGTACTGTTAACATCCTTCCAAAAAAACGATCAGTTTATGGTGACACAACACTACTTACGTAAAGCCAAAGAATGTCAGTTGTAGTTCTTATGCATTCCAATCCACCACAACTTTATATCGGTTGTGGTTCTCACGTGACTTGCTGATTTTCCTATTCAAAATCGTTTTATTATAACATGCTAAATTTTGTGTATAACACCTTTAATTCTACAATTTTTTAATTGCATTTAATTTACAATTTAATTCCATTTTTTATTTTTGTGTATGTGCCATCCAATGGAAACGTAATTTATAAATTAAAAACTGGTTATTTTATTACATTTATAAATATTTAAAAAGTATTAAGATGCGGTGATTTATTGTATTTTGGTTTTATAGATGTACTTGTACTTATAATATTATTACAGTTATTTTAGTTAGTATATGACTATCTGCCAAATTTCTCATTGTGTTGAATCGCTTTTACATCTATAGTTGTTTGACAACATTTGCAATGGTGAACCAACAAGTTTTTAAATTGTTTGTAGTAGCTACCACGAGACGGCTTCTGAGGATATATTGTTTGAGACAGAATTTCATAGTTAATCATTTAGCATATACCCAAGTTATGTTATAATCACGCTTAAATTTTGACAATGCAACTGGCTTAAACAAAATTATGTAATTAAATGATTGATTTGTTATGAAAAAAGAAAATGGCACACGTGGCGCCATCTGTTTTTGATTTGAAAACACTGAAGATTAAGTGTAAACTCTAATAATACATATCTGATTATAAGAACATTTGAAAAAGGTATCATCTATTTTCACTGTAAAATGTAAACACAAATGTTATGACCCTCATTACATAACTAATTTTCACAAGATCTGTGTTTTAAAGATATTTTATGTTTTTAAATTTTCTGAGCAACATTAATTTGTTATTTTCAGTATCTTTGGTTCCATGGTGTAACTTACAGCCTAAAATCTGAATGTGGATTTTGAAATTTCAAGTTGTATAACACTGTGCACAGATAATTCACATTATTTATATAGATTAAAATTTAACTGAGATATTATAATAATTGGTTCAACAATATTTTTTCTTTTAATTACTGTAAATTTAATTTCATTAAAAATAATGTATATATATATATATATCCAGGGAGCTGAAAATCCTGATTTTATGTCTGGACAACATCATTGGTTTGTTACTTCCCATGGTAGACCAACCTACTGTAACTTCTGTAGAGAGGCTCTCTCTGGAGTGACATCTCGTGGGTTATCTTGTGAAGGTAAAAAACATTGATTATTATTCAGAGAAATCACATAAGGAAAGTGATGCTTATCTATATCCTTAGCTTCTTTCTTCATTCAGAATTAAGCAGATAATAATTTTGCAAATGTATTGTAAATTAAACAGTTTATTTCCTGCTGACTTTATATGGTTAGTATCCTCTTTGTGGGTATAATCAACAGTGTGTTTTTATAAAATAGAGCCTTCTCTCTCTAATGATTGTTGTTAAACCCTTAAAATAAATTGAATAGATGGTTTCATCAAACTTATTTACACTTTTTACTGTCCATAATTTGCACATCACTTTTTTAATATATTTTACTGTATGCCTGCTAATGAATATATATAATATTTCTTGTAAATTACTGTCTGTAGAATGAGTTTAGATAAAGAATGTTTTGGCATTACCTCAGTGAAATATTGGACACCTATTACAGTTTTTGCTGTGTCTTGTATTTCATTTTACAATGTGTAATCAACATGTTTATTAATATTTGTTTTGTGCAGTAAGTTGGTTAGATTATGTGGTGGTATTTTCCTGATGAGATTTTAATACATCAATGACTTGTTGATTTTTTGAATAATTTGGATAAAGCTTTGAATGAAATTACTAAAATTAGTTTCTTTAATATTTCACTTGTAGTTTGCAAGTTTAAAGTACACAAGAAGTGTGCCATCAAAGCCCTTAATAATTGCAAATGGACAACTTTATCTACAATGGGAAAAGATATAATTGAGGATGAAGATATGGTTTGTATATCTCCATCTATTTATTTGTTTGAATTATAATATAAAAATCTTCAGGTACAAAATAAATAGCATAAAAAAAGTTCATCCAGTTTCTTGTTTATGAACTTCATATTATTGGTATATTTTAATTATTGTAATATTATTATTATTAAAAATTATTTTCATTCCTGTATAATTTTTTATTCCAATACTGTTGTTTTTTTTAAATTGTTAAAACATTTTTCAAACATTATTTTGTGAACATGAAGATTTATTGATTTCTCTAGTAATAAGAAACTCTAGTACATAACTTAGATTTTTAGATATCAGTAATATGCATTCTCAAGCAAACCCTGTCAATTTTAGAATTTAGATAAGTTTCATTAGTTCTAGCAGTATAAACTTTCAGAATTTAGATAAGTTTCTTTGGTTATAGCAATGTCAACTTTCAGAATTTAGCTACATTTCTTTGGTTGTAGTTATGTGAAGCTTTAATACAGAGGTTGGCACTTTCAATTCTTTTTTTTTATTCCTTTAGTAATATGAAATTCCATTTCAGAACTTGTCTGCTTCAAAACTTAGTTTTACATATTTGATTTCAATAATATGTGACTTTAGGACAGATATTTTCAGTTTTGGAACTTAGCTCTTTTTCTTTGATTGTTTATTTCAAAATGTACATTTCTTTTCGTCAAGTAAAGAAGGTAGTGATTTACAAAATGAATTAATATGTTTTCTATGTAAGATAATAATAATAATTAGTGAAATAGTTTTTAAATTCTGTAAATCATACACTACTCTATAAAAGGAAATCTTATATTTCATTTTTTATGTTGATTTAGTCCTCTCTTTTTTAATTTATTTAATACTTCAGTAAAGTTTCAGGTTATTATGGACGTTTTACCTCATGTTAGAGTTATTCTTATGCTGTGTGAACATGTTTTCACATCTAGCTCATAAGGGTTGGAGAGGTAAATCTTCAAAGATATTTGTTAATTCCAGATAAGTTTAGCTCCTTCGTATGTGTGGATACATTCTTTCTCTTTATGATTTTAAAATATCTTTGTTCTTTCATATGATGGCTATGATAGTGTTAGTGAGCATTATATATTTATTTTCCAAATTATCATCAGAGTATATTGGTGAATTATACAGAGTTTTTAATTTTAAAGATTGTTTATAACTTAGTAACAATTGTACATATGAATTAATGCCATTTTCTTTGCTGTGAGTAATGAGAAGACCCCTGTACGTGGAGTAAGGATCCAAACACTGGCTTATTAATGAATAACACTTGATAGAGAGACATTCTGAACATTCTTGACTTGGGGATGAGGCTCTAAGCCAAAAAAAAAGTTTTTGATCATAGTATTTTATCATTTAGAACTGGAAGTCATGAGTGATTCTGCAACTAATTCATATTTGGTGTTTGGATCACTGTTGAATAAAATGTAATTTTTTCCAATTAATTTTTTAAACCCAAGAACTAACACCTTAAAACCATTTATGTTGAATCAAAGATTTTAAGAATTTTTTAACTGTGCTCATATATCTGATTGTTTTTTTGATAATGGTTGAGTTCTGTTCATTGTGATCAGACATTGTGGTGTTTGTTCATTCAAGACATAACACCCATATAAAATGTTAGAATAAGCAGTTGACAGTAATTTACTTCATTCCAAGTATCCAGAAACTCCTTGGCTTAAGGAGAACCTAATTTTGCTTGTTTTCCTCTTTTTTTCCAAAACATTTCTATTTATCTGTCATGCATTTTTCGTTGATAGTGGACATGATGCACAATGATTGAAGAGCTGTTTTTCTCTTTAGAACTAGAAGATATAATTCTAGGAATGGATCAGGTGATAAGATCTTTGAAACCAATGAGACTGCATGAAGAAACATAAAATGAGAACATATTTTTGTATTATACGAAGGTTGAGTTCATTATATTAACATAATTTTGGAGACTTACCACATTGTTACAATCCATTTTGCCTCATCCTGTATGCTTTACCTGATGGCTGTACATTTTGACAATAGCCCTGCTGAGTAGGTTACATTGCAAAACATTCTGCCATAAGGTTTTCATGTCAAAAGTACACCACTACTCTGTGCATGTTTTCCATCCAGTGTATGAGAGTGATGATTTAGACCTACAACAAGTTGTACCCCAGCTGTGGTAAGTAAAGCATGGCATCTTGTAACAGGTGAGAATCCACAAACACAAAAGTCATGTGCCATAAGCAATAGTATGCTATACAATCAAAAGGGATCTCTGTCTGAGAGAGAGAGAGACACAAGTCATGTGTACACAAGCTGCTTCTTAAACATATCCATTCAAACATCACAAACCTCAAGCAGCTGGAGAAATATTCATGGTATTCAGTACAAAGACATATTGGTCAAGTTTCCAGACCCAGTGCTGCCTATGAATTTCTGTGTGATCAGATTGTTACAACAGGTACTGATTTTTCTGGATGGTCATGGGATCCCAGGTTAATCCATGTTCTTTTGATTTCCAATATGATTAAGTACAAGGGATGTCCCCCCATCTTGGAAATTCTGAATCTCCAAAACTGGAAAAATTTGAGTAGAGACAGACATCTGCCAATCTGAGAGGGAAGTCAAGTTATAATGTTTTGGACAGACTAACATAGCATTAGAAAATAACATCTATCTAGTGTTCTTTTATATATAAGGTATTTTTTTTCACTAATGAAAGGGTGTGTTAGCATATTATATTTTGCCACTAATAAATGTTTGAATTTTGCTTTTATACACTTTTACATTATACTCTGTTTTTTACATTAATATTGAAAAATAATACTTCATTTCACGACATATTTTATAATTTAGCGTTGCTTCTTTGATATCAGTGATATGGATTTTAAATATATGAACTCCTTTTTAGGCCTTGTCTATTTCAAAACTTCTGATTCTTTGATGTTACTTCAATGAAACTAGTAGAGTACTTGTTTATTTGAGTTCTTAGTCATTTTTGTTTATTTCAGAACTTAGCAATGCCTCATCAGTGGCTGGAAGGGAATCTTCCTGTTAGTGCCAAATGTAGTGTCTGCGATAAAACATGTGGAAGTGTGCTAAGATTGCAAGACTGGAGATGCCTTTGGTGTCGAGCCATGGTAAGTTTCTTAATTTATATTTTTTGCAACACTGAAAATTTCTTTGTTTTGGGCCATGGTTCCTAGTGCTCTGTGGTGTTCTACTACTAGACTGTAGAAATCTTTATTAAAAACCATTCATACACTGGTGTTACCATATTGGAGATGTTTTTGATCTCTTTCAATAGTTAGTATTTTGTTTTAATGCTTTTACCAAACAGGAGAATGTTTTTTGTTGCATAGCCTTGCTACGTATTAGTTGAAGACATTCTAAGTGTGGTACCCTGGTTTTGTTATCACTCTTAAAATGTTCTGGTCTTATTCTACCTTAGCATTCTTACAAGACAAGAGACATATTTGATGTGAAACCTTACTGCAAATTTGTGCCTTGATCTTCTCACAAGAATGGAGATGTTTTGGGTCTCGCGTCTTCATGTTCTTACCATAGAGGAAATGTCTTTTATATGAAACTGTGACACTATTGTAATTGTATCAAAAATAATTTGAAGTATGGACCTTGATTGGCTTACCATACTAGAATATTTTCAGTTTCATGCCTTGATGGGTATTATAATTTTATGTTTTTAGTACACCAGAGTAACCTTTATTGTCAAAAAATATTAAATATTCTACAGATATTCTTATCAGACTTGAAAAATCTAGGCTGTTAAGAAATAATGAGTATTGTGATATAAAATGTTCTTGAAAGACTGCAGTTGTTTTTGAATTTTTAGCATACAAAAAAATCTTTTTTGTTTCAACCCGTAGGATGTTTATCATAGAATAGTGTAATATATCACATGCCATTTGTCAAATGACTTGGTAACTTTACTTGGTGGCTGTATTTATGCTCAGTAGCTTAAACTACAAGTTTGGGAGCTATCATATTTACAGTTAAGATAATTAAGAATTTTACCTAGTGACAGTAGTCATGTTCGCTCTTTTCAGCTACCAGCCAGTATTACTAACTCCTCTACCTACTGAATGTATTTGTGAATATTATCTAAATACAGATAACACATTATTAATGTCCATTATGTAGAGCTACCAGTCAACAATTAAAAGTTTTATGGTAATGCTTCTATTGAGCTTCAGTGTCTTCAGCTATCGATCAACAGATTTAAAGAATTACTGACTGACTGAGTTTGTGCCATATAAGAGAACTAAACTCTTAATATAATAACTGGGTTTATGTTCATTTTCCAGTCAGTAAAGCCTTAATATTTATCTTATGAATATTTTCTGTTTAGCAATCTCAATAATCAGACAAGAAGTTTAAATCTTTACCCTAAAAATTGTATTTATTTTAATTATTATCTAATTTTATTAATTTTAATCCATAACTACTTTTTATTTATGCCTCATCCCCTAGTTATTGTATGTAATATATATTGCAGATGCAGTTATCTGAATTAGTATTTAATTATTTACCAGTTTTTCACTGTATCTGTTAACAGGTCCACTCAGCCTGCAAAGCTTCATTTCCTAAACGTTGTCCACTAGGAATCTGTCATGTTTCTGTTGTTCCTCCTATTGCCTTGCACAGTATTGGTACTGATGATGCTTGGGAAGCTACAAGGCCAGTTGGATGTAGTCCACTTTTAGTATTTGTTAATTCTAAATCAGGTGACAACCAGGGAGTAAAGTTCTTGCGACGTTTCAAACAGCTCCTAAACCCTGCTCAAGTGTTTGATCTAATGAATACAGGACCAGGACTTGGGTAAGCATTTTATTTGTTGATTAACTCGATGTCTTATGTATCAATGTAAGATTATAATGCGAGTATTTGGCTGAATTTTAGTTTGATTAATAACATGGCATTTGTTCTGTAAAAGTACTACATACCTTACCCTCTTATAGTGTGTATGTTTTGTAGTTAAAGAGTGATGAAATTTTCTTAAGTTCTGCTCTAAAAACCTACTAAATCTGGGTAAAGTCATGTGCTACATTCAACATGAGTTATTAATTTCTATAGTGGGTCTGATCACGAAGCTATTGGATACTTGTATTGTGTCCTACTTTAGCTTGTGTATGGAGGATTGCTTTGCAACTGTCATATGTCACTGATTCTTGTGATTAATTTTTCTGATTGGTCAGCTATGTAGAGAGTGGGAATCATGAATGCATTTTCAGGTAGCTTTTTTTTGTCTTCATAGAGAGCAGATTCTTTTCTTACCTGAAGGAGTCAAGACCTTATGTTGAATTTTCATCCATGTTTTAACCTTCAAATACAGTTTATTCTACTTTTCAACTAAATCTATCAAATGTAATAGCCCTTTTTACCTGCACAATCAGCCATTTTTCTGTTTTTCTTCAAAAAAACTTAGGTTCAATTTTTGCTTCAGCTTCTCATTAAGTCTTGTCTCTTTCATTTCACCACTACAAATCACTACACTTTTCCTTCTGCATACGAGGTCCTGAAATCTCTAGTTGTTGCAGAGATCAGGTTACTGTTTCCTTGAAATTACCATGGTTATCCTGCTATATATCTACTTAAATTCCTTGGACATTCAAAGAAATTGTTGATAATATCACATGATCTAAAATGTTGTGCTTTTGAACTGTAGGGTATTAAGTTTGAGAAGATATAGAATTTTGATCAAGATAATTTGTTTAATGGTTTTATAGGCTCCGAATGTTCCAAGCATTTCATCCCTTTAGAGTGTTGGTGTGTGCTGGTGATGGAAGTGTGAGCTGGGTGTTAACAGAAATAGATAAGCTAAATCTACATAATCAGGTAAAATATAACGTAGTAAATTCACTGTTCCAGAGTACTGTATTTCTAGCTCTGTGAGTTAATTTATATATTAATAATCTATAAATCATTATTTAACAAAAATCTGTATGTATATGTTTCCTCTTATAACTGGCAAACCTCTGAACTGATTGTAACCAAACCTGGCATGTTCCTTTAAGGCCTCCTGAGGAGTGATATAGGAAGTCCAATGTTCAGAGCTGCCCCAACCTTTCCTCCCATGTTACCACCTGGGAGCTTCTAGGCCTCTCTTGTGTGTTGTGTCAAATTATACTGGAAAACAATGGATTGATTGTTACCAAGCCTGGGGAGTAAGATGGGGGTTGGCATTTGGATCTGACCCTTCTATGTCATTCCCACTCGGCCTGTATCCTCCCCTGCATTTAATAAGAACATCAGCTAGAAGGGAATAAAATTCAAGTTTATGAAAAGTTGATTTTTCAATAGAATTTTTAATTTGTATGTGTTATTACTTGATTACACACACACATATACATAATTTACATTATTTGATAGCATTTACCTTCCCAAAACTGCACATTTAGCTTTTTACAATCAAAACACTGGATTGTAAATAAATTCTGTTTCATTTAGTTTATTTTTTGAAACAAGTAACAATTGTTTTTGTTTATGGTGACAAACAACTCAAATACATTTTGTTGAAGCTAATAGGAAGTTTATTGTGATACAAGAATTCAAGATTACAGCTGAATTTAACTGGAATGCTTATAGAGATACTGATTTTTTTATCATTACACTGTTGTATTGAATAAAGATTTTCAATACTTTAAATAGTACAGAGGATGTGGCCTTATGTAAGAGTAAAAAAAAATTACAGTTTCAGTACAAAGTGACAACTTGGGTTTACATAGAAAATTTTTATAAATAGACTCAGGCAATTAGCCAGCTTTTAAGCCCCTAGTTTCAAACCTATGTTTAGACTGAAACTAACTTAATGGTTCTGGTGTTATACACATAAATAAAAAAATAATAGCAAGCAAGCATATTTTATGTGCTTGTAATTAAATCTTTCACTCAAAATCGTGGTAACTCCACTAATTTAGCAGATTACATTTTCTCAAGATGTTCTTTATCTTTATTCAAGAAATAACTGGTTTCAATCAGAGCACAATTTTATAAAGAACTTTGAAAGTTTATTGCTGTTAATTTCACTTACACTTATATATTTAAATATTACTTGTATATCAATTGAAAGTACTGATATTAATAAAAATTGTGAAATTAGTGAGAAAAGTACATTATTTTTTAAAATTCATTGAACATATTTATGTTTTATTTTCTGTGAATAGTGCCAACTTGGTGTTTTACCTTTGGGAACAGGAAATGATCTGGCACGTGTTTTAGGTTGGGGTTCAGTGTGTGATGATGACACCCAGCTCCCCCAACAGTTAGAAAAATATGAACTAGCAACAACTAGACTTTTAGACAGGTTAGAGTTTTTATAATTTGATACTACTAATAAAAAAATATTCCACTTTATGATTTTATTTTTCCTAAATAGTATGGTACTACATACTATCCAAACATATTAAGTGTTATTAGTTATATGAATTTGACTTGTTTTGTACCAAGATCATGGTATAGATGATTGTGTAAAACTGTTACCCCTGTTATTCGAGACTAAATACAATATTATAAAGGTTAAATGCTGTGTGGTATGATTTTACTGTTTGTTTTCTGTTTTATAACCAAGTCCATACAAAATTTTAAGTGTTGTTATTTATATGGAACTAATATGCCATGTGCTTCATGGTTATAGAAAATTCAGATATGTTTGTTGTTAATATTCCTAAATAATTGCTTTAAGCAAATGGTAAGCAGAACAGGCTTTTTAAGTGAATATTAACTTTACATTATAATTTATTTAAGTGTTGTTAGGCAAAAATAATTAGTTATTTTGTGTAAAGTTAGGTAATTTAAGACATACAGTTTTTGATTGACGTAAAGACTGTACACCTGTAATGTTGGAATAATGAATATATATATATATAAACATATCTTTTATATGTGGCATAGCAAATTTGATGCAGACTTCATCTTGTTACAAAAATAACTTCCTTTATTATTGAAACAATAAAGATATATTTCACTTGTATCTTACCAGGTGGAGCATTATGACATATGAAAGAACAGTTCTTGAACCAGAAACGAAGAAAGTTTCATCTACAGAGGCAAGTACTATTTGTTATGTTATATTAAAATTTCTGACTTAGTGAATACACGTAGTTACGTGCCATAGTCGTGAGGTATATATCTTATTAGCTAAGCTATCTAATGGCATTGTGATAGCAATGGTTACCATAACTGCTAGCTTTCCCTATAACTTTATTTCTATAATATATTTAAAATCTGTATGATATTTCAAGACTTGATGTCTGCCTCATTTCATTTTTCTCCAGAGGACACTAAGTCTGGATTATTTCTGTGTTTTTATGGTATTGTTGGACTAGAAATTAGTGGAAGGTGACCTTCACTTGTGGCTAGCCAAACTTTTCCAAGAGAATAATGAGTTGTCATTTTGGAATATTGTATGTGATTGGTTGAAATTAGAGTAGTGTCATTTCCTTGTTCACTGATTGGATGTGTATGTGTTTGCATCTCGATATTTGAGTCATTCTTGTATTTAGCACTACACAATTCGTCTTTGCACAGTAAAGTCCAGTTCAGAAAGGTTAGTCAAATAAATAGTATTATTTCAAGTTCATCTGTGTAGATGTGTATACATCTTTTGTTTTCTTCCTTGTGCTCCAGTACTTAACCCTTTTTATTTTTTTGTATATCTAACTTTTATATCCAACTGCATCAATCCAGTTCACCATGGAATGTGAAAACAACAACGTACTACCATTTCTAGACATCCGAATGGAAAGATGTGAAACTGGTTTCAAGACATCTGTGTACTATAAACCAACAGCCACTGGTTGCTACCTCAAATTCGAGCCACACCATCCAGATACTATTACAAAAGGCATCAGCACTGATAACACAATAAGAAAACAAGAAATGGACCAGTTAACAAGACATTCTAGAGAAATGGATACCTGAAAGGTTTCATAGAACAGAAACACAGAGGACATACTGAACAACAGGCACAACCCCAAGAGAAACCAGTAGCAACTGTGTCACTCCCGTACACCAGAGGCCTGTTAGAGAAGATACAGAGAATCTGTGGATGATACAACATCAGGATCATCTTCAGAAATAATACAGCATTCCGAAGAAGACTCACCAAAGTCAGACTACTGACATCTAAGGAGCAAACAAAGAACTGCATATATGACATTCCATGCAGTTGTGGTACATCATACAAAGGAGAAACAGGTTGTCCTCTGTCTGTCAGATTGGAAGAGCATAGGAAGGCAACCATACGGGGCAAGATTGACAAGTCAGGCACAGCACAACATGCATGGTTTGATAGAGAACATAGACCAGCATTGGATGAAGTCACTATCATGGGCACAGAGCCACATTGGAAAATAAGGAAGATCAAGGAAGCGGCACATATAGCATTGACTACTAATTCCATTAGTAAGCCAGGTGTAGACATAAGCTTGATATGGCTGCCAGTATTGTGAAAAAATTGGGACAAAACATACTAGAGATAAAAAAATTAAGGTATTTCCAAAACATCTCAAAAGTGTCCTCCTGATAGGCAAGTGGTTAGAGTGCCCATATTCAGGATCACAGGTTCGGGGGTTAGAATCCTGGTAATTCTACAGAAAGCTTTCTGGTTGTGACAGATACAAAAATTGTCTGATATAACACTGACGACAGTTGGAGAATTCACTGGTCAAACTGTTGTGAAAGTAATAATACACGTAATAAAGATGAGAATAATAGTCCAAATAATTATACCATTAGTAATACTAACATCTTGTTTCAATCATTCCAGAAAATTGTGCATCAATTTCTACACCGGAATGAGTTGGTATTTATTCTGTAAACAGCAGTATCTCGCTGCTGTATAAATCTTAACATTTTTTTGGTATTGAGGTTTTGGCTTACCTGTAGGTAACTCTTTATTTAAGAATATCAAAGCATGATTTATATGGAATTAGTCAAACAGTTTTAAGTATTTAACGTGTTACTACATCTTCTGGCTACATTCACTATGTGGAGTTAGATAAAATTATAAGGTTGGTATATGTTTGACACAGTAATACTCCTAAAGTAATACTCCTGCAATAAATCAGTTTCTAAGTTTCTAGATTTTGTATTTTCTGTTACACAATGGACTGGATTTGAATCTCATTTAAAAAAATTAATCCAGAAAAGGTAGATATTTGATGTTTCTTTCACGATTGTGTCTAGAAATCCAGTATGAAATAAGGTATCACAGGGTTGAAAGTTGTAGGTATTCAACATATTGTTACACCTAATTACTAAATATAGATCTGTCATGAAATAAAATATCTTTAGATAGGTAGAGGTATGAAAATAGGAAATAAAGCATAAAATGCCAGTAGAATGATTTACATCAACTAATGGCAAAATTTAGATGTTGGAACAGTATAGCTTTGGTTAAGAAAAGATAGGAGGTAGTCTTTATAGCTGTTTTTAAGATAAAAGTTCCTATATTTACAGCAGCAATTGTCATCAGTTAGTTTTTGCTGCCAGTGATTATTAATAACTTCTAGTTGAAAGTAAACTATGTATATTAGAATAAAAATAATTGAACGAATAACATTCGTTATTGAAGACTATCAAGTATAACAAACTGTGTAGAAGTATTTCTTGATATAAATCAGTATGTCAGAAAACTAAAGCATACAATGAACTTTATTGTATTGCATATAATCAAGTTAGGTACCCTCAGTTTTTGGCTCTTATTCTTATAATATTTCACAAAATTGACTATTTTTTTATTTAACTTAATCCTAAGATTACACACTAAGCAAATAATTCAAAATAACCTTTATAAGTATAATTATAATTCCAAAAGTATTTCGAGCATCATACTTAACTAAAATTATGTTCATCTTACAGATTAGAGGTCTAGACTTTTAGTGTGGTAGTGTAAAAAGGAAAAATTACCTTTCTAACAATTCTCCATTCTATGCTATAGCTAAATGTCATTATGCCAGAGTGAATGTGCATAAATAGTTAGGTAGATAGACAGAATACAATTTTTTGTCCATTATTTTTAATGTGAATAAAAGTTTTTTCTCTTGTCTTATTACTGTTAGCAGACTAAAAACACATTTTATTTGGTGTGTGGTTCATTGTCTACTTTGATCTTCAGTAGTATATTGGTTGATGAATAATCCTTGCTGTTGCTAATATCTGTGTGATGTCTTTTGGTATATTTTAGTTTGATCCTATGTCAGTGGAAGACTCTGTTGTCACCCATCTTACCCAGATCTTACATTCTGACCAACATTCCGTTGTGATTTCTTCAGCAAAGTAAGTTGCTGCTTATGTTAATGATAATAAATGAAACAGTTTAAAAATTAACACACCTATTAAAAAAGGGTATTTTTGTTGGGCTATTTCTTCCAAGATATTGTTTGACAAACTTAAAGTCAATTTAACCAATAAAAAGTGTTTTACTTAATAGTTGATGGGAGACAAATTAATAGTTTAATGCATATAAAAAATGAGGACATTTAATTGTTTTTATTCATTCACGTTATTGTGAGAAGCACTAAACAATTTAATGCAGTTATTAAAAGTTGGGTGGTTGATGGTTTTTATGTTGAATGTTGTTTACAGCTATGAAATGCTTCATAGTTAATATATGGTATTTATCATCACTTTTCTAGGGTATTATGTGAAACTGTGAAAGATTTTATTGCTAAAGTGGGAATTGCTTACGCACAGGAAGGGTCACATGTTGATGATTCCATTACTCAAAAGGTAAGAATGTGATCTTGGAAAACATTACAAAGCCTGTAGATTAGATAATTGGAAAAATGATTTTAAACCATGATATTATTAAATGACAGAAAAACTTTTTGAATTATTACCGTAAGCATAGAAATGCTATAGGCATTGAATTATTTAAAATCTGGCTAAAGAGTTATTCTTAGGTACCAAATAATATATGAAATTAAGTTTTCAAAATGTATTAATAAAGAATGAGTTAAGTATTTGTGAAGCTGTTCTCATTCTTGTCGTTTTTAATTAGATAGAAACTTTAAAAATTATTTTCAAAATCATAATTGTTATATGGGAAATGGACATATATATTAGTTTATAATAGTATTGAAGAGGATCCGAACATTTAGTTACTGGACATTCTTGTTACCGCCACATTGTTACTAGGATAACTTGTGATGGGTGCATTCTTGTTACCGCCACATTGTTACTAGGATAACTTGTGATGGGTGCATTCTTGTTACCACCACATTGTTACTAGGATAACTTGTGATGGGTGCATTCTTGTTACCTCATTTTTGTAACATGGCAGTTTTTTAAATATAAAATTGATTGGTGACAATGATAGAAAATAATAATAGATCATAAATTGTACAATCAGTTGGGGACCATTCAAAAATTACATAACACTATGGGGGTGAGAGGGTGTCTAAATCTGTATTATGATCTTTTACAGGGGGTATCATGAACAGTGTTACATAAAATATAAATTACAGTGAAAACAATTTAGGTCTACAAAAATGTTTATTGTAATTTAACTTACTTTGGTTTGAATTCCAAACACCTTTAATAACTTGAACATTTGCAAACGTGATTTATGTATAATTTTTGCAAGAGAGAATTGAGGTGGTGTCCTCCGGTACTTGGATTAGGTAGTGGTGAATCTCGTAACAAAATTCGCCAATCAATGAAAAACACGTGTAACAAAACCTTTCTTAATGATGTGATGGTAACTTGGATGCCATAAGAAAGTGTTTTTCATAACAAAAAGTCTATGTCACAAGCTCTTCATAATGAAATGTCCTAGACTCGTATCGAAGATTCTGTATATGTGATCAAACTCTTTCTGTTTTAATAGAAATGATATTAATTGTGTGGTTTGCTGTGGTATTAATCCATATTTGTATAAATGTTCTAGTCTGTTGTGTTAATAATATTAAAGAAGGTGTGTTTCCATTTTAATGTTTTTATAATGGTAAGAAATTATATTTATTTCATAGTGTGCTGTTTTGAATGAAAAGTTAGATTCCTTACTAAAGACTCTTGATGAAGAGTCAATAGCTTCTTCTTCACCCCCTTCATCTCCAAAGGAAGTAATGAGTGATGTAACTGTTTCACGTGAGGAAGAAGTTGAAAAAGGAGAGAGAGAGGTAACAGAGAAAGGAGAAAAAAGTGCTCATACCAAAAAGAAAAAGGTAAGTTAGAATTCCAAACAAATAATTGTCTCTGAAAATTATACAACTTCCATTATGAAATATAGTAAAGCAGATTTCATAATTTTCCTGGTTTTATAAAGAACTATTGCATACCACTGTCCCTGCAAATAGTTACTGAATGTAATGCTTAATTTGATAAACAGTGACAACAGGTCATTGGATGATAATTGTTCATAAAAAAATGAGTTATTATTACAGAAATTAAAACCTAGCTCACTTTTTTCTTGCTGTCATAACAGGTTAGCATAGCAGGGTTTCCTTACACCACCGGATACAAATTCTTAATTTATAAGGAAAAACACCCGTTCATTCACAGAATATTTTTTTTTTTAATATCCCAAAGAATTGTAAATGTTAAGGTTAGTATGCACTTCAACATTAACAGATGTTTTATTTCTTCATTTTTAGTCAGTGATATGTAAATAAGTGTGCCTCTCTTACATTTGTTTTTGGTTTATATAAAATCTCAGAAATTTCTGTTTGTGCCAGGACTGGATTAACATTTTGTGGGCCCCCATTTTCATGTATTCATGTAAAATTTTAAATTCAACTAGTGATTGGACTTTTTTTTTTCTTTGCCAAGTTGCCAGACAACTGTATGTCAAGGTCACCTGAGCAAGTAATGCTCATTCATAGGCCATTTAGCTTAGCAGTTAGTCATACGCCAATCAGTATTTATTTCAAACATCCATATTATTATTACTAATTGAGACAGAAAGAAATAAACATTCCATTTACTTGTTACAAAGGCACCCATTTGCACCTGAGACCCAACTCATTAAATTTACATTGCCAATTAAGTAGCTTTTTTGTAATATAAAGATAAGCATTTCAATCTTTTATGGTCAACAATGCTTTAAATAAAGAGAAAAGTTGGAAAAAATACAATACATTCTGAGTCACTACCAGTATAATACCAAGTAAAATTTTTCTCATACTAATTCAACCCTGTTAATAACAGAGGTTATTATCAAAGACCAACTCTAAGCAAAGACAATTATGTTAAAAATTATGAAAATTTCTCAAACCAGCCATAGAGCTAACTATTGTTTTCAGATTTAAAGCTATGAAATAAACTTTTCCTACGTACAAGTGTGAAAATTTGTAGATTTAGAAGTTTGTCTCATAAAAATGGTAATGAAGTATTTTGCACTTCCAAATATACAAGTTCTCACTTTTTGTGGTTGCTGTATGCCAATTAAAATACTTTAATGCATTAGTTAATTATTATTTTGTTCACCAATATAGACTGTGTTTATTCAACGAGAAGCTTTGATGTCTAGAGCCAATAGCTTAAAGAAAGCTGTCAGACAGATAATTGAACACACAGAAAAAGGTTTGTTACTTTTAGAATCTTATGACTTCCCTGTTTTAATCTAGGGAATATACCAAAATATTAGATATCCTATTAAAAATTACAGAAAATAAAAAAAATAGCTTGTTATTCAAAGAAAATGTTTAGTTAAGATTAAAAGATTGCTTAATGAACATAAAATTTTTTCATAGAAACCAGATTTTGAAATATCTTATTTTCATTTTATTTAATAGTTTAAGTACTGATCAATCTTTATGATTCATTGAAATCACTAAGTATTGTATTTATTACTTAGTGAAACAATAAACATCAGTTCTTTTTTATCATAGACAATGTAAGAAATGATGCTAAGTTTGATCTTTAAACTTATGGTGTTTTCAATAATTTGTTATAAAGGTTTAGCCCTATGATTAGTGGAATAGTAACCATTTATTGTTATGTTTGATATAAAAATATTTGAAAAGTAATAGTGAAAAAAGAAATTACACATAATAGCTTTTTTGACATATAACTCTTTATAAGCAGAATTCTTATGTAATTGATGTGTTTTTCAGTTCTACCTGAAACAGTGAGAAAATTAGTGTGCAGGTAGATATGTTATGGTGTGAGGTAAACTTTAAACTTTTGTTAAACAGAATAGTCATTAAGCAAATGTTCTTGTGTTCACCAAAAGCTGTTGATGAGCAGAATGCCCAGACTGAAGAGCGAAAGTCCCCTGTTATTGAAGGAAGCACAAGTGATATACATGCAGACTCAAATGTAGAAGAAACAGTGGAACCTCAGGGGAAATGGGACATTCCTGTGTTCACCACTACATTCCACTCAGATGATACATCTTCATCACAATTGTCTTCATCCCCATGCTGGAATCCATGGGGCTCATCCATGGGGCAAAGTGTTGGGGCAGCTTTGAAAAATACCTTACAGGTTACCTTACCAACCATTGAGGGAGGTATCAGTGCTGACAGCTCACCCTGTCCTTCACCTCGCTCCTTTGATCTCCTTACTCCTTCTCCTTTACAATCTCTCTGCCCTTCCCCTACTTCACAGCAGGCTCACTCACCTTCTCCTTCTACAGGAGAACTCTCAATCCCCCTGAGAGGAATAAGTCCTCTTTCCATTTCTCCTCTACCCACTGACACAGAATGTGAAGAAAAAGATGATGATTTTATGACTCCAGAGATCCGGATAGAAGGTTAGTATTAAAATAAAATTTAAGTGGTATTTATAATCATATCTTATAAAACCAGCATTTGGAATGAACATAGTAAGTTAATAGAAAAATAAAATGCTTTTTATCTTGTACAATTAATGTATGGTTTTTTGCTTAGTATTTGGTCATTTTAAAAATCTTTATGATGCTTCTTTTACCTTAATTATTCCAGAGATTTATATTTCAAAAAGAATGAGGTATACAACTCTCATTGATTTATGTGTGATAAGTATTGGATGAATATATATATAGGGAAGACACAAGTGTTTAATTGTTGGAACAATAGAATATATATTCATCAATCACTGACACAAGCATATTTGTTTTCAAAGTAAATATTCACACTTTTAGTCAGCAGGTGGCTTTGAAACTTTGTAAAAATGTTTTATTTTTGCAGTCGTTTTCTTGCATGTACACATGCATTTGAAAGTTTAACTGTAACCATGTGCACATTACTTAATGCAATTTAATGTATCTGAAGATTAATATAGAAAGTGCAAAGGTAATATTATTTTCACAAATCTAGTAACAAAAATAAAGCATTTGGAAGAAGTGAGATCTTTAACAACAAAAAAGAAAGCTTTGAATACAAGTTTTAATAAGATATTCAGTTTGAAATATTAACATTTTCATGTTTATTTTCCTTCATGTATTAAACTGTTTCTTAATTTTTAAATAAATAATAATTTAGAAAAAAAATATTAATTTGAACATGAAATGCAGTTTCATTTATAACATGTTTAGCTTATTCCAGTTTTACTAAAGTATAATCCCATTTCTCATTTTTTATAAAACTAGTTATATTTGTTCAGTTTACAAGTATACTTATTTTTTGGCTTTTATTTATGACTTTCATACTCATCTGGCTTCTAATGGGTATTTTAAAGTCATGTACAATTCGAGAAGTTAATATTTAGTAAAACTTAAGATTATATTTAAAATGATAAGTATATGATAATTTTATATATTTAAATTATTCGCTATATAATGTTTTAAATGATCTATTTGCATGTGTAGAGCATAGAACTAAAGATATTTTTATTTTATAAATATTTCTAGCAGAAAGAGCTTCATCTCCTACAGCATCTCGAAGAATCAGCAGTGGTTCAACTTTTAAACATATTGGTAATATTGGCATGCATTGGGGGGTTGGTGTTGGACTTCCTCTACTTCCCTCAGTTGTTCGAGAGAAGAGTCGCTCCCCAGAAACAGTTCCAGTAGAAAATAGAGAATTTCCTATTATAAACCCTTTGACTTCACTTCCCATGTGGCCTAATCTGAATAAAGACAGCTTAATAGGAAAGGTTCTTCTTGCCAATGCAGATGCTCTGTGTGCTGCAGCATCACCATTAATGGACATTGAAGAAATGTCACTGTAAGTTGATTCAGCATGGTATGTTTTTTACGAAACGTTACTGTAAAGTTGTAAGTAGTTGAGCATACTTTATTAACTCCAACTTTATGGGAGTGTACCCAAGTAGCCTCTCTTGTCACCAACACAACGACATCAGTATAAAAAAAATACTTTTTTCCATCTTATACGTTTCAAGTTTCATTTGCAATAAACCCTAAAACCTACAAAGTGAATATCAAAAGTTTTTAATTTACATTAAATATATATATTTTTCACTTTCTTTATGATATTACTAACTATAATCTTCAGCTTATACTATATAGTCTACAGTACATTACATTGAAATGTTTAAAATTAAGACACAGGAAAATGTACATACCTTTTAATATTTCATAAAATAATCTTAAAACATCTTCCATTTTTGCTTGTCTACATTTTCACATATAATTTATTTTAACAATTTCTTATTTTTTCCCGGGCTTTTGTGCTGCTATTTATAGCAACACACGTCAATGGGTGTCCCCGGCCAATATTAACTTATAGTGGGCAGAGAAACTTTAGCCCTTGGCAGAATGTGGTGCAATTCACATATTACACTATCCCTTGTGAACCAAGCAGGCATTGGCTTATATATATATAAAAATAATTAAACCATTCAAATATGCATACTAAAACATGAAAACACATAATTAAGTAAAATATAAAACTAAAACCTAAATATAATGCAATTGTCTCTCTACCTAATGTATTTCTAGGTGAGAAATAATGCTAAGAGCAGTTTGAGTAGTTGACTATGGAATTCTTCGTGCCAATTTTAAAATAACAGTTAAGAGGACATACTTCAAAAGGCACTCTTTCCATTGGTTATAAACATCTAGCTCAATTTAGAAATCAACTCTATGTGTAGAAAGTGGGTGTGGCACCTGTCAAGAGTTCAGAGAAATTTAGTTCTCTTTCTCCAAACGCTCACTATGGAACTTGAAAGGTGAATCTGTAAACAGAGCAATTAACTTAGACCCTTTCTGTATATGGAAGGTTAGTGTGAGTCAAGAACTGTTCAAACAACAAAGACACAAATTTAACATTTTGTGAACTTACAGATCAAGAGAGAATAAAACAGAACTTTAAGAATTTTGTTTAAGGTTTCTTTTGAAATAAAGGAATTAAAACTTAGATAATATAAACTTTGATCTATAATGTAAATTTTAATGCTAATTTCGTTGAATAAAATTGATCATAAGATAGCTTAATTACGTTATAAATGTAACTAAATAAAATCTTGTGATGTGCACAGAAAAGGGTCACTGTAAGAATAGAGTTAAGTGAAACATCACAATATTAAAGTTGGTTCAGCATGGTATGGTTTTTAACTATAAATTGTACTGTAAAGTAGAAATTCAGCATACTTGATTAACTGAAATGTCCCATTATTAAAGTTGGTTCAGCATGGTATGGTTTTTAACTATAATGCTACTGTAAAGTAGTATTCTGAGACAATAACTCACCTGCTCACACAGTTTAGCTATCTTTCTCATGCAACTGCTATAGAGAGGCACTTCCCACCTAATTTCTTATGAATTAACGTGAATTGTGCAGCTGCATGGCAACAAAAGCCCTACATGTGCAATAGCTTCCCCTATGTACTTGCAATCATGGTAATTTAATTTTTCTCTTCAGCATTGTGTTGATTATATGTGTTTTCTCGTGTGAGCTCAGTTTTTTGAGATTTGCGTTGTTAATGAAACTTTGAATTTTGTTATCTTTGGCTTTTGTTTCAGAAGCTTTATTTCTTTTTCATAAATCTCAAATGACTTAGTCCTGAATGAATGACTTTATTCCCACTCAATTGTTATTTCTGCTGTGATGTTTGGAGGCTTGTTAACTGTCAGAATTGTTGCAGCTATTGTTCAATGTGTGGTGGATTATCACATGTTTAATGGGCCTCCTACTCCCATTCCACCATTTGGGAGTGATCTGTTGATCTATGACTTTCACCTAGTTGGCTTTGGGTGTTATCTTACCATTTGTGAAATGACCTTAACCTTTTAGTCTCTTTCAGGATTTCTTTGTCAGGTATGTTTCTCTTCTTGTCTTTTGCCCATGTTTTGTATTTTTTCTCATTTTTTTGCCAGCTGATTCATGATTCTTTGAGTTTATCTTTTCTTTTTGCTTGTTATTAGAATTTATAGTGTGTCCTTCTGTAATAGTTCCTTTCTCAGGTCCATATAATTCGTCCCCCTCACGTTCATGATTACCTTGGTCCTGATTTGTGGACTTTCTTCTTTTCCCTTTCTTGATTCTGTGTTGCTGGTATCTGCTTGGCCAGCTTGGGGATCAAGTCCCTTATCTTCTACTTCACTTTCAGGTTCTACATTTTCATCTTTTTTCTTTCTACCCTCCTGTATTTCTTCTCCTGACCCCTCCTTTTCTCTGAGGCATTTCATTGTGCTTCAGCTGGGCTTCTGCAGATGTTTATTCCCTTTTCTGTTTGGTCTGTTCCACTTCTTCTACTCTGTCCCTCTATGTTTTTGTTCTCCTGCTGTTGGAACTCATGAGGGCCTACTTTTGCTACATTCACAGCCTGGTGCTGTCATTCCTTTTTTTTACTATTTACTTCTCTTTGCCTATTCTTGGATGTTTTCCCACGTTCTTTCTTTTATGGTGGTATCTCAGTTTTGGAGAGAACATATACTGAGATTTAAGTCTTTTGTCATGCCCATTAAATGTTTAGTTCTTTTGGTTGATTTCTTCCTCTCTTATTTCAACCATATCTGATCACCAGGTTTTACACTTCTCATTCTCTTCCTGCATGGGAGGTTCTTTTTCTTTTGGGGACTCTAGCTTCCTTAGTGGACCCAAGGTTTTCTTTCTTAGTGTCCATTGTCTTCTTTTGTGAACCTCTTCTTGAGGAATTGTCATGGTGACTGAACAGTGCCATTACTACTTCCTGAGTTCCATTACCATCTCTTAAATTAGATCTCTACCTTTTTCGATACTTCCCCCATCTGTTTGTGGCACATTTCTAAATTTTGGAAAGGACTTTTATTGTTTGGATATTAGAGAAGCTTTCACTTAACATCAGGAAGCTTGACCTTTCTTCTATTTTTCAGGTATGTTCCCATTCCTGCCTCTACTGATGGATTACCTGGTAATGTTCTATCCTTTCTATTCCATAGTCATTTCTTGCACCAACCATCCATGAGACACCTATTCCAGGACCTTTTGCTTTTGGGTGTTAGATATACACTTCTTTTGCTCATTCAAATCAGGTTAATCTTCTTGTCTCTTTTTTTTGCCAGAAGCTTAAATTTTGGTAACAATCTGCCTCTCTGTGCCAGTCTGCCTTCTATCCACAGAATGGTTTCTATACCTCCAAGTCTTCTGTGGGGTTTACTTTTGGTTGAACATGCACTTCTTGAATGCATTTGCCACCATTCTCTACTCCGGGCTTCTTCATCCTTTGGCTTTGGTTGTTGATTTTCTCAACCTGATCTAGCCTCACCCCTTTCTATATGTCTATTCTCCTATTTGTCTTGTCCCTCTGGTCCTTGGCTTGTCACACTTTTCTCCTTCTTGGGTCCTATTGTTGGATCCTCTTTAACCAGCTTAGCATTAGTCTGCTTGACATTCAGACCACTCCTCTTCCTCTACCTGATATCCCATCTCTCTCTCTTGCTTTACCTTCACACATCCTTTTTTACTGAGGGATATTTTCCCTCCATCCTCATGCATATAATTTACCTGTTTGGCAGGTCTTTTGTCATTAGTCCTTCTACCACTCTTTTTTTTCTGGCCATCATACTGTAAACCACCTTTTTGCCTTTTTTTTATCTGACTATTCATTAATGGCTTGTCAGTTTCTGCCTTTACTAATTGTCCATGGCATTTCTCTTTTCCCAGTACTACAAGATGTCTCTTCCCCTGTCCTCTCCACTCTCTTCCACTCCTCTGTCCTCCTCACCCCCCAGTTTCCATGCCTAACTGAGACATTAATGAAGTTTTAAAGAATTTTGTGCTTTCCCCCATTCAAGCTGTTCTTTTCCTACCTTTTGTACTATCTTTCTTTCCTCATTTGTTTTTTTCTCCTTCTTCTAACTTGTTATTACTGTTGTTCAGATATCTATTATATAGATGTCTCTCACACTTTCTTCCACTGGGCTTATATACTCTTTTCCTTGGATCAATCTTTTCTTCCTTAGACTTCAACCTCTCAGAAGGTTGGTTACACTTCTCTCCTATCTCCTTTCTTTCTGCCTCTCATTTATTGGGCTGTTCTAACTCAGATCGGTGGTTCCTGTGTTCTGTTGGACTGTTCAGTTTGCCTTTTCATGGCTCTCTCCCTTTCTGGGTTCCCATCTTCATGTGTCCCTACCTTGGGACTCCTCTTTTTCTTAGGACCTCAGGATGTAAATGCTAGCAGACTATTTCACATATCTTTGCATTTGATTTGTCATCTTTTTATTCCCAATATATCCCCTCTTCACCAGCTCTGGAGCAAGCTTCTCAGGTTGTATTCCTTCTGGCTGTTTTATCTCCTGATGGTTTCTGGCTTCCATAGGTTACCATTCTTCAATCTCTCCACCGTCTTTGAAAAGTATAGCTAATATTTCTCTTTCAGAGCCCCTTTTTTATTTCACCAGTTGGATGGGGTTGTCTCCCAGGGTATATTTACTCAAAATTTGCATCGAGCCAGGATAACAGAAAGCACTCATACCATCAGCCCTGGCTCTACCTGTACCCACTGAGAGATGGGGTGTTCCACAAGACCCTTTTGTCAAGTGGAGCACAGGAGATCCTTGCCACTTACCAGTTTCTAGCCAGTAGGGTGGTGAATCATGAAAAACCTTCACCAGTTGGACTCACTGAGGCAAAACAAAGGAGTACCAGTTTGGTTACAGGTGGGGCAGTGGTGACACTGTCAGTGTAGTGCAGGTCACCCCTTATGTACATATGTACATGTACCTCACTTGTGCCCCTCTCCTGCAGCTGAAGTCTGCTCAATGGAACTGAGGTGTGCACAT